TGGGGTCAAGTAATAGTCTTTCAAGAAGATTAGAACAATATTTTAACCCTAACCCTTTATTTTATAAGGAATATGGTTTATTACTTCCTTTGATTAAAAAAGAAGGGTTTTCTGCTTTTAATCTGGAAATATTTGTTATTTATTTTTTCTTTACTTTTGCTTATGATCCGTTGTAAGTTTTAGCAAAAGTAAAGAAAAAATTAGGAAGAATTAAGCTCAGATTATAACTTTTTATTTTTGGAGCAATATCACTTATTAGATAGTAATTTTAATTTAAATACTCAAAGAGTTGTTAATTTTAGAGTTAATCAAGGAAATACTGTTTATCTATATGATCTTGAGGGTAAGATTTTATATTACACTGCGACTTCTTTTAATGGATTGAAAGCTAATTTAGGTATACATCATTCTACTGTTACAAAATGTATAAAAACCGGATCACTTTATCTAGATTATTTCATGATTTCAGATCAACTAAAACCAGATGCAAAAAAAGCTGGTTTATCTTTAGAAGAGTTATCTAAATTTATTTCGGACAAAAGATGATTATTTCTAAAAAAAGATTTTTCTTTGAAAAACAGTAAATCAATCTATATTAAACAAGATGTTACAGGAGTAACACAGCATTTTCCTAGCATAACCTCATTAGTTAAATACTTTGATAGTATAAATATTAAGGCTAACCGTAATAAGATAGCTAGTTGTTTAAATACCAACGAATCTTATTTAGGTTACACTTACTATACTAATACAACCTAACTAATACCAAACTATAAATATTTGGTGGTTACTAGCCCATAAGTAATAGAGTTCCAACAAAGTGTTATAAGAATAAAATATTTAGATCATGGAAAAGTAAACTTTCGGTTATCCACTCATTTGCTATTCCAGCATTAGGAGTTAAATGTGACGCATAAAAAAATAATGTTTGTAGGCTATTCATTATATGTGCAAAAGAGCCAAACTTCCGGGGAAGCCCTAAAGCTTTAGTAACCAAGGTAATTAAGGAAACTTTTTTGCTGGCCTGATTAATGACTCAGGGTACGGTAATATCACTAAAGATGATGGTAACTGAAATGGGTGATCGCGGATCTAAATCAGATAAGGCTTGCTTGCTTATCTGTAAAAGAGCAACGAGTAGACGGTTCTTCAATCAAGTTTATAGATCCGTCTATTTTTTTTTT